ACCCCGCGCCAGGGTGCCAGGCACCTCAGTGATGGGCGAGTGCAGGCAGGGGCTGGCGGGTCTGGTGCAGCCCCGGCTGGTGGTGGGGGAGCTGGGGCGGGTGACATTGAACGCATTGGCTGCACAAAGGCATGTGAATCTCTGTAGTGCCATTCTTCTCGGGGCTGGATCTCCTCCAGGGAGGAGAGCTGGCGGAGTGATTTAATTCACACTGACTGCAGCTGACCTTGGAAACCCGTGGATAGACGGCTGCCATCGACGCTGGCTGGTGTTGGGAGGGAGCGAGAGCCCGCTGCGGGTCCCATGGGTGCAGGAGGGATGGAGGGAGCCAGGCAGGGATGCTGTACGATCGGCCGGGCACCCCACATCCCACCCCGGTGTCGGCCACCCCCTGCCCTCCTGGCCCCTCAGCGGTGCTGGCAGCCACGGGGAGCTCTGCACGTCGCGCTCTGCACCCAAGAAGCCCTTTGCTTTTTATACCCCCGTGAAATATTGACTGAGCTGCAGGTCTGCGGGGTGGCAGTGATGGCCGCTTACGTTCATGCCTGGTGTCGAAGGGACCCGGCTCGCGGCCACCTGTGTGGGACCATGGTGGCTCTGCGGTCGGGTGCCCCGGTGTGCTTTCCCTGCAGCTTTGGGTCCCTGTGGGTGGCAGATGGGTGAAGCCGGGCTCAGCGTGGGCACAGCACAGCTCTGCGGGGCAGCTGCGGGAGCCCGGAGCGGAGCCCCAGAGCTGGGCGCTGCTGCTCGCAGTGTCCCCTGGTGTTTCTGGGCTGGGGGTTGGGGTCTGTCACAGCTAAAAGCGGTCAGGTGGGGCTGGGCTGGGACGAGCAGCTCCCCAAGCTCGGGTGTATGGCTGTGGGGGACGGGACGAGCAGCTCCCCAAGCTGTATGGCTGTGGGAGGTGCCCAAGCCGGGGCTGGGGGGGCAAGAGGGGCCCCGCAGGAGGTGCCCAAGCCGGGGCTGGGGGTACAGGAGATGCAGGAGTTGCCCGAGCTGGGGCTGCAGGAGGTGCCTAAGACGGGACTGGGGATGCAGGAGGTGCAGGGGATGCCCAAGTGGGGCTGGGGGTGCAGGACGTGCCCAAGCCAGGGCTGGGGGTGCAAGAGGTGCCCGAGCCAGGGGCAGTTGATTTTCCACTGGTGAAAACAACGTGCCCAAGGTGAGCATTATCCCTCTGAGAGCAAATATGGGGCAATGGGAGCACCTTTGCATGCACCAAACCGCCTTCCCAGGTCAACGGTGCCATTAGCTCCATCAACATGCTGCAAAATACACCCGGGACCTGAGCCAGGGGGAGAAACCTGCCCGTGGCTGCAGGCAGCGAGCTGGGATCGTGCCGTGCTCCCTGCGCGTCCCTTCTCTGCCCAGGGCCGGTGTATGAAGCTGCTGCCAGTGGGTGCTGGGGATGGTGCAGAGGTTGGCACAGTGAGGATGTCCCTTTTCTTGCTGGGACACGAGGAGCAGGGAAGCAAGAAGCAAAACGTGCACTTCGGGTGTGCTTTCCTGCCTGTTTGCTGCCTTTAATTGCCCCAAGCTGGCAGCTGTGGAGGGGACACTTAGGGGGCAGCTCTACCCCAGGGGCTGCGGGGCATTAGCAGGAGAGGGACCAAGATGCTAATTATGGGAAGGTTTTGATTCCTGGTTTGCAGCTGGCTCCCGCTGCTGTCGCACTGCTGACGGCGGCTCCTGGAGCCCCGTTTGGGTCCTTCGATACCCAGGGGCTCGGTCATAGTGCCATGGGTGCTTTCACGGCACCTTTCATCTTGGGAGCACCATGGGAGGTGGATAAAAGCTGCGGCTGGAGCTCAGCACCCTGCGGGGACAGGAGTGTCGGAGGCTAAGCCTGAGTCTTGGCACGACAGGGTGCCCATGTCTCCGCTGGCAGGTCCTCAGAGGTGCCAAGAACGAGGTGCCAGCTCTGCAAGAGCCCGCTCCATCCTGCAGCCCCTGGGTACCAGGACATGTGGCCAGTCCTGTGCCATGCCGTGCCACGCCGTGCCGTGGGTCTCGTTGGGTGGGTCTGTGGGGCCAGCTCCTGCCAGCCCTCCCCTGTGGGCACCAGCCCTGGGGGGGACCTCGCGTTTGCTGTCACTGCTGGGGCTGAGCTGCTGGGGAAGGCGGGGACAGGGCTGTTGCATCCCAGCCTCCCACAGTCCGGCTCAGCCTGAGGTGGTGGCAGCAGGGACAGCAGTTTTGAGTTCTTTCATGCTGAATCCATAGGATGCTCTGAGTGTGCTTGTTCCTGCCCCGGGGGAGGGAGTTTTGCTTTTACGACTTGTCAGATGCAGCGGTGCTGGCACCGGTTAGGGGAGGACATGCCAGCTTTGTCACTGCAGCGAGCCTCAGCTGGGTCTGTCCAAGGGATGCAGTGCTTTGCAGCGCAATGCAATGCAACGCAACGCAACACTTTGCAATGCAACACAACGCAACACTTTGCAATGCAACACAACACGCTGCAACACGGTCCGATGCTTTGCAATGCAATGCAACACAACGCATCGCTTCCCCGCTGCAGGCTGAGGTGTGACACCCAGCCCGATCCCCCCTCGCTCTTCCCCAGGCCGTGATGATGCAGGATCCGAGCCCGAGCTGTGGGATCATGCATGCCCTGTCCCCCTGGGGCTGCAGGCGAGCTCCTTGCCAGCCGACACCGGCTGCCCGATGGTCTTTTGCCAGACCCTTTACCTAATTCCAAGCAAGGTGTTTCCCAAGTGAGCTGTGCCTCGCTGTTGAGCCAGATGACATTTAAAAAGCCCTGTAGTAGCTTGAATTTCCTAACCTGCCTCTCAGAGTAATTGTTGTCTTTTTTTCCCCACCAGTTGTTATGACAATAGTTTAGCTGGGAGGAATTGCTTTAACCTCTCCCCTTAATTGGCTCTTCCCTGCCAGGGCCCCCTCTTTTGCTGCTGCAAACCTTGATTAGCTCGGCTGTACGAGGGAGCGAGCTGACAGCGGGGGTTTGTCAGGCAATCGTACCTTTTTTGCATTTTTATGCTCATTTAAAAAACGAGGCTTGGGAAGAGCCGACAGTTTTCAAGGGTTTATGGCTGCTCCCTCGCACCACCGAGCTGGAAGCCTGTCTGTCTCCCTTTGACTCAATCTGCCGGCGCTGAGAGCCAGCGGCACAGGGCGGGCATGGTGCCGTGCGGCAGCACACCTGGAAAAAATCTGTAGTGCCTAAATACAGCTCCACCGCTGGGCTGGGGTGGCGGGAGGCAGCACCAGGACTTCCCTGGGGAGCCCCGTGTCACCCACGTGTCCCCCCGTGTCCCCCAGCCCAGGGCAGCCTCAGCCTCCTCCGGCTGAAGTGCCGGTAAAACGGTGAGGAAGGTGCTTTTCTGGGGAAGCAAGGTGGTGGGTTTGGGTTGGATTTGCATAGAAATGGCGCGTACAGATGTGGGATTGTGTTAAGTGTTCGAGCACTCGGGCTTTGACTCCGGTTTCTTTTTCCCCGCTGTTTATTTTATGGCCATGGCTGGGAGTTGCAGCTCCGTGTTGCTGCGCAGGCAAGCGCTGGTGCTGCCAGTGCTTCCGATGCTCCCAGCCCCGGTGCTCTCTGCCCCGCACGCTGCCGCCCCGCAGCCGTGCGTATCCCGACCCGGGGGCGAAGCTGCGAGAGCGGCCAGTGATTCAGGCAGCGTTGCAGGACATGCACTGGAGCCGGGATCCCCAAATCCAGGGAGCGGGGAGGAGGGCAGGCAGCGCGGCTGGGAAGGGAGTAGCGCCGAGGATCGGGATGTGCAGGTGGGGCAGTGGTGCCTTTCCAACCCTGCCAGGGAACTGCCACGCTCTGGCTTTTCCAGCCCTCCTGCCCCACGCCTGCTGGGACAAAGCCCTTGCTGCTGCAGTGAGCGGGCACGAGCCTCCTGTGACCTTCGCTGGCCTGGTCACCGAGCCCTGCTCATATGGGGACGAGATTGCTGGGGAGGGGGCAGATATGGCAGCACAGCTCCCTGGTCTGGTCCGGGGGTCCAGCTGGATCACGAAGGCCTGGTGCAGGATGGAAATGCTGATTGCTTGTAATGGGCGCTGGGATGTGATGCCCAGGAGCTGCTGGAGGGGGTGATGGCCAAGAGCTGCTGGGAGGGTGACGCCTGGGGGCTGCGGTGCCAGCAGCCTGAGCCACGATCTCACCCATGAGCACCTCTGCACCCGCCAGCTTGTCCCGAGCCCTGGTGCAGTGGGAGATGCAGTTCTCCAGCAGAAGTTGCCCCCCCAAGGTGGACCCCCACTAGCTGGTGTGCACGAATGCCGCGGCTGCCCCTGTCTGTTGGAGGACGGGAGCGATGACGGTGCTTGTCCCCGGCACGGCTGAGTGCCAGCCGGGTGATGCGGGGCGGGCAGGTGGCGGTGGCATGGGCACAGCACACCCAGGGACAGCGCAGCTCTGCGCTGGGTGCACGGCCGGGTTTCCGGGGCGCCCGGGGCTGCTCCCTGCCTCACCGAAGTGTTTTGCAAACCGGCCTCCGCATCTCGCTCGGCGTGGTGCCGGCAACGCTGATGCCAGCTGACAGCTATGGCTTAGGGAGCTGTGCTTTCATCTACCTGCAGGTACAGGCGAGCTCTCCTACTAGAGGCCAAAATGCAATTACCCGTAAACCAGGAGGCATCGGGGCTGGCTGCACGCTTGGGATCCCTGCCGGGGCTCTCCAGCACACGGGGAGCTCGCCGGTGCGCGGGGAGCTCGCAGGCGTGCCTGGCAGGAGCCGGGGTACCTCTGGCAGCGCGAGTGCCTGTACCAGGGGCGGCAGCTTGTCTGCCATGGGAGGCTCCTGGTTTAACGTGCCCGGCCCTGGCTCACATGCTGGTGTGTCAGATGTTGCTTCGCTGGCAGTACCATCGGTGCCAGCAGCCGGCTGGCAAATGACTCCTTTACCTGGGCACGGGGAGGTGTAGGGCCTGGCCGGCCGACAGCGAGGGGTTTGGGCAGGGGGAGGATGGGGGTGTGCAGGGAGCCCCCAGGCTGGACTGACCCCGTGCCCATCTGTCTTGCCCAGGTGAACGTGACGGTGGACTACATCCGACCGGCCAGCAGCGCCACCGAGACCGTGCCTGCCTTCTCCGAGCGCACGTGTGCCACCGTCTCCATTGGAGGAATGTAAGTGTGGCCCTGGGGAACCGGGCAGAGCGCTGCAGCCTGGCGCTCGCCAGGGCTTTGCAGGGCTGTGCCACGCGCCGTGGGGCCACCAGGGACAGAGGGTGGCTCATCCTCATCATGGGGCTAGACGACAGCTAGACAGCAGGAGCCTGCTGTCCCGCTCTGCCCGGGGCCCTGCAGACCTGCATCCCCTACACTTGCCGCCCTCAGCTCCGGCAGTTTGGGGGTGCTGGGCTGGAGGACTCCCCCCCGTGAGCCGGCCTCCTCGGGGAGCAGCATGGCCGGTGGGTTGCTTTGGAGGAACCATCTCTTTCTGCTGTATGTCCCTGGGATGTCTGTCCTTTCCCAAGGGACATCGCCCTCCCCGTGACACGGTGCAGCGGTGCAGGCTGTGCCGGAGCAGCCCCCCCCTCCCCAGCCCTGCCCCCAGTTTCCGTGCCATGGGCAGGTTCGGTGGCTTTCCCCCAGGACATGGAGGTGCCGGGCTCCTCCGGTGCGGCCCTACGGAGAGGTTGTGCCGGCAAGGCGCGTGTCCGGATGGCAGCAGCTCCAGGAGCTGCGTAGGGATGATTTGTCATAGGCCATTTGCTTGCTTTTTCTTTTTTTTTTTCCCCGTAGCAGCTATTTTGGAAAGCAACCAAAGTGCTGCAGCGCTGCACGTTTCTTCCCCTTAATCCAAGGTCTGGGAAAGCTGCAGAGCGTCGCGCTGCACGGGGAGATGCGGCTCCATGCCGCATGGGAAGCCAGAAAGCTCCCTGTCACCCCAGTCTGGTCTAATTGAGGCACTCGTGGAGTGACCTTTGGTGATGCTTATCTCACGAGTGGGTTTAATTTCCACCCCAGTGGCAAAGGAGATCCAGCCCTGCCCGTGCCGGGGCTGGGGCTGCTCCGCGCTTGCTGCCGGGTCGGGCCGGGATGCTGCTCCCGAGTTGAAACCGCAGCAGCAGGAGCCTAAAGGGCTTTCCCAGATGGAGGTACTGGGCATGGTGGAGCCCAGCGGAGCAGCCTTGCTCTCCTGCACTACCTGCACCAGCTTTAAACCCACCCGGTTTATTCAGTGGTGCTTTAACTGCATCCCCGGGGAGCTAATTCTCCAGCTGAGTGTGTCTCACCGGGTTTTTGGAAGGGACAGCCCGGCCGTTGCATTTTTGGGGCTGTTTGTAGGAAGATGACGTCTTGGGTCACTGGCAGTGCACAAGGAGGGGAGCGTGTGGTGCGAAACCCACCAGCCTCTCCCCGTGCCCGGTGGCTGCGGTGCTGCTGGCCCCAGGAGGCTCCCGGCAGCGCTTGTGCCGCACCCGGTGCGGTGGAGGGGTAGGATTTCCCATTTCAGGAGCATCTCGCTGAGTGCTGCCGCCTGCTCTTAGCGTCTCCAGCTGCAAATTGCTTTCAAATAGCTCCCGAGTTGCATCCCTGTTTCAGGAGGAAACCTGATGTGAATTTGCAGGGCTGCTGCTCGCATTGACTTCATTGCCATAATCAGGCATCAGCGGAGCGAGCACTGCAAGCGAGCGCTAGAGCGTCTCTGCAGCGTGCAAGCCTCCGGGGCACAGTGTGGGGCAGCCCCCTTGCTCCTGGCTGCCCGCGGCCCCGCCGCGGTGGTGCAGGTCGGTGCTGGGCGCAGGGTCCTTTGCCTGCCGCGGTCCCAGCAAAGGTGTGGGTGTAACAGAGCAGGGTCTGTGCCGTCCGGCCCGGGCCGTGCTGGGGACGGAGCGGGGAAGAAAGCCTGGCTTGTCCGCCTGGCATCTGGGCTGGGCTGAGCCTGCTTGGCAGGCTGAGCACGCCGGTGGCTCGCTGGGGCGGGCGGCCCGGGCAGGGGGCTAACCCCTGCCTGACTCCTGGAGCCTTCCTGGTTCCTGCCTAGCTGTTGTGGCTTTTGGTGCAGGCAGCCGGTGGTCCTGCAGCCCCCTGCCCGTGCTGGCAGCAGGGTGGGCAGGGGGGTGTCGTGCCAGCCGTCGGCTGCACCCCTGGGGTGGCACCTCTCCTTCCCCGAGCACGGTGGGAGGAGAGGGTCCACCCTCGGCGGTGGGCAGAGGAGGACGGTTACCCATCCCCCAGCATCTGCTCTCCTCGGGGCGCTGGATGGGTTTGCGGAGGGCAGCAGAGCAGCTTCTCCCGCCTGGTGTGCAGGCAGCCCTTGCTTCCAGCTCAAAGCAAACACTGTGCCACGCGTCCCCCTGCACTGCAAGCTTGGGGACCCGGAGCACAAACCCAGCTTCACCTGCCCGTATCTCTGCCCAACCCCCGGCTGCGGTGCCTGACTCGGTGTCTCCCGCGGAGGGGCTCCGAGCTGGCAGTGCCGGCTGCCCTCGCTGGCTCCATCACGCTTCTCCCTTCCAGCTCCCCAGCGTTTTCAGCTTGATCCCTGGCTGGGGAATGCCAGTGCCGCTGCCTGGCAAGGCTCTGCCCAGTGCCTGTGTGCCGCAACCCTCCCCGTCCCGCTCTGCCGGCGCCTGGTGCGCCGTGTGCCTTGTCAGCTTTTACCGCCGCTGCCGGCACTGTTGTTCCCGGCTCATGTTTTCCTGCTGAGCACAGGTTAAGGTCAGAGGTTTGTGCTCGGCTGTCACAACAAAGCCGTGCTGACACGGAGAACAGGGTGAAGGGGCCGCGGCTGGCGGAGAAGGCAGCTGCCGGGACATCGGGAGTCCCACGGGCACCTCCTGTGCCGGTCTGGGCTCACAGGGACAGCTCATCCCACCACAGGTGCTGTTGGGAGGGTGCCCGTGCGCCTCAGGCGCGATTAATGTGGAGGCACCTGCAAAGTGGTGGCAGAAGGACCTGGGGACGATGGGGCAGGTCTGCTGCGACCAGCGGGAGTGGGTGCACGTGAGGGCTCTGGGTTCACACCAGCTTTGCTCTCCGAGTCCCACAGCATCCCGTGGCATCCTTCAGCATCCCAGAATATCCCACGGCATCCCACAGCCTTCCTTGACATCCCACAGCATCCCATGGCATTACACAACATCTCACAGTATCCCACAGTGCCTGGCAGCACACCACAGCATCCTGCAGCATCCCGCAGTATCCCATGGCATCTACAGCATCACGCAATGCCCCACGGCATCCCGCAGCGTCCCGCAGCGTCCCGCAGCATCCCATGACATCCAGCAGCATCCCACAGTATCCTGCGGCATCCCATAACATACCACAGCATCCCCGGGCACCCGACAGCATCTGGCAGCTCGTGGTCAGCAGGCACGGCGGGTGCTGGCTGCGGGGTGGGGGCCCCGGGTGCCCGTCTGTGGGGCTTGGTGCTCCCCAGGAGGCTGCCGAGAGCCCGGCTTCCTCCTGGGGAACGCGTTGGGATGCAGGAAGGGGATGCTGTCCCCAGCCCACCAGCGAGGCTGTAACTGGGAAGCAGGGGCTGCCGGCTGTGCAGGCACCCCGTAATCAGCCTCCTGTCGCCGGGCCCGGCTGAGCCTTTGCAGCCGCCATCGCCCGTCCTTGGGTCAGCTGCGCGCGTGGAGGTGGGGGCTGGCGCGGCCGCCGATGCGGGGCCGGCGGCTCCTGGCAGCCCTGGGGCGTGCTGCCGTGATCAGTGTGTCCTGCTCCCTCCTGTCCCCTCGCGTGACAGGCGGCTGCTAAATCAGATCATGGGGAAGCGCTGGCTCTCCTCTGGCTGGGGGACGTCCCTCGGGGTGGCCCCAGACCCCCTTTGCCTGGATTCTCAGCTGGTTCACAGGCAGAGCCTGGCTGTCGCCGCGCGGCAAGCAGCGAGGGGTCCCTTACCGACAGCCCTCTTGTTTGGGGTTCCGGGGGGCTGGATCCATCTGACACCCCAGGCGGGTCTTGCTCTGGGGGTCCCTGCCCCGCAGCCCTTCCCCGGGGGGACTCAGAGGCTGCCGCAATGCAAATTGCACAAATGCTTGGAAGAAAAAGCTACTAAAAATCATTAAAAAACAAACTTAAGGAAAGCCCTAAGCTATAAATCCATGCCGGGGGGAAGGGGGTACTTTCCCTGCAGGCAGCGGCACCAGGATGCTGCATTTTGGGGCTAATTTGGCACAAATGGTGAGTTTTGGTGATGCCACCTCCGAGCATGGCGGGGGGGTGCTCATGCAGGGCTGGTTTTGGCAGCGCCAATGCGTGCCAGGCAGTGAGAGCTGGAGAGGTTTCGGTGGGTGAAAAGGCCACTGAAAGGCTTCCTTTGGATTTTCGGGGGGGGGGGAAACTGTGAAATTTGTTTCGGTGCTGCCGGGGGAGCGGGCAGGGGGGGGAAGCTTGCAAATAGCCATTTTTTACTCCGCCGTTCTTTAAGTGGCAAGAACTGTATTTCACGGCCTAATAAGATTTTTTCCACAGCAAAGAGCTTTTCATCTGCGTTTTCATATTCCCATTCTTTAATCTGGGCTTAACTGGGGGATGCATCTTCCCTCTGTGCAGCCGCTCCAGCTCCTCTCCCCAGATGCTTTTATTTGAAGCAGGGGGGCTGCGGTTGCCCCCCCTCCCTGTGCAGAGGCTGTGGGGAGAGGAGCAGGGAGCAGGGCTGGAGCATGATATTTAATTCACAGTCAGGAAATTTCTTCTTTAAGCTGTTATCCTTGCTCCCCTCTTCCTTGTCCTCTTTCTAGCAGCAGGAGGGGGATCGTTGCAGGTGCAGTGCACCCGCTGCAGCCAAACCGGTCACCCCTGAACCCTCCTCAATGCGCCCACTGCAATGCACCCGCTGCAGCAAACCCATCACAGTGCACCCGTCGTGCTTCCCTGGGTTCCCAGCACCCAGCCAAGTGTCAGGATCAGCCCCGGTGTGCAGTGCTGGGATTTCTGAGCCTTAAAAGCTCTAAACCTGGAACGAATTTGGGGTCCTCCCAGCATTTGCAGCCCTGGGGTTTTTTTTTTTGCACTCAAGCAGCAGGATTTTGTGGCTGGGGGGGTTAGAAATGCTGGGATGCTGGCGCAGCC